AAAAAAAACAATCATAAAAATGAAAAAAAGTGATTAATGATACCAAATTAGGAATAGGAAAAACTACAAGGAAAGGAAAACATTGATTTTCTGGAGTTCTCATACCATGATCCTGCCTTCGGCCAGACTAATATTTATTATATTATACATACATACATACATACATATATTACATAACCGATACTAGAAAAAGATTGGGAAAAATGCTGGAAAAACATACTCAAGTAAACTTATATATTGTAAGAAGCAATATAGTAAAAATGTACAATATAGCAATTCGTAAATATTTATTTAGGAACGTTTCTAGTAAATGAGAAAATAAGTATATATATATATATATATATATATATATATATATATATATATACATAACCAATACTAGAAAAAGATTGGGAAAAATGCTGAAAAAAGATACTCAAGTAAACTTATATATTGTAAGAAGCAATATTGTAAAAATATACATCTAGCAATTCGTAAATATTTCATTCTAGGAACGTTTATAGTAAATGAGAATAATAAGCTACACCTAAGAAGCAAAAATACATCTCAAAACAGTGAATAATATTTGTATTTTCCATACATCTAATTGATTTCTAATGGCAAGTCTACTGATTTCGCAATAAGATTAAAGAAGCATGATTATAAATGAACAGAAATATTTGCAAAGTATTGCCCGTTGATGAAGGACATTATGTAATTGATATTTATCTTGAGAAAACCATTTTCTGATTGAGTCGATGTAATGTTACTTAATCCATTGTATCTAACCTATACAGCGATTAGTGTACTAGACAATTAGGAAGCCTTCTGCGATAGTATCGTATATTGAATATTACCATACAACCTAAATGTTTTGACCCAGATACTTTACACTTCAACCTTGTATATATATATATATATATATATATATATCCATTGTTTTTAATTTGATTATAAAACGACCCCAAGATATGAAAAAGTAACTAGAATTTGTCAAATAATGTAATAAATGAAAATCTTATTGAAATGAAGGCTTTGATAATGATCGAGTGTCTTATATACATTAATTTACTCCGTATGAATCACTATAAATTTAAGTTCAATCCGCAAGGTTTAAGCTTAATAAATCATACAAGCAATAACTGCTACGACATTTCATATGTAATGAGAATTGGCATACTCATCACAAAAGGCAAATAAATACAAGAATCTAAATTATAATTATTTTTAGAATGATTTCAATATTACAACACGTGTACAATTAGACAGAATACTTTTTACATAACTGGAAAATTTAACTTTATCCCAATACTAATCCTTGCGTTTCTATAACGTGTTAAGTTAAACCACTGGTACTAATCTTCTACAAATCTTATCTCAGGTATTTTGACAATCCTTTAAGACGCGCAGTTTTAAATACTAGAAAATGCCTGGTTAAAAAGCATGGAATTTAAAATTTAAAGGGTTTCATTTAAATAACCAAGAAAATTATCATCAAGATTTTACAAAAGCTTGCGGAATTATCGGTTTTAAAAAAAATAACTATATTTTTTTATTTACTATTTGCATTGGTTGTGTTTTAATATAGCATCGGAGTATAAATAATTTATTCTAACTTTACCAACGCATTTGCTTTTTATTTAGTACAAACAAGAATCTGATAATTGATTTTATAATTTACTAAAATGTTTGAAAACCTTTTCCATATTTTATTGAAAACTACCTGCCGTAGTAATACCCAAAATATATATTGATACATTCAAAACCAATATTATTGAATACCTGTGCTATTAAATCTCCTATTTTTATGGTATACATAGATTATCTGTGGAACTTTAACTATTTAAATTGTGCATTTAAATTCTTTTCCCTACAAAGGTCATACCAAAATTCTCTAATCTCTTGTAATAAGTTTACAACTATGCGCAATAATTGTGCATATTTCGGCTCATTTTGCAAACAAAATCCTTAGCGTAATATAATTTTATATATGTCAGGCTACGTTATTAAATAAAATCGAACGTAAAATCGTTAAATAAATATTACTATGTAAAGTTTTATGACAAGCGTGAACATCTGCATTGCAGACATAAAATATTTACAATACACTAGATCAAGTTTGATTGTTACTAGAATACGATAAAAGTTGCAGCCCCAGTGCAAGAAAAGTTCTCACTTATTTTTATAGTCGCATATACAATAAGTTTTAAATGTAAAATAAAACGATAAAAAACAAGAATACGGAGAAAGTACTTATTCGACAAAAGAACTGGTAATTCGTTGTATTTAAATGCTCAAAATAAAAGCCGATTGTGCTCGTCAACGCCAGGGGAATCTTCTTTCTCTTCCGCGAAGCTTTTGCGCACCTAGTTCACCGCACGAAGACAAACCAGTTTCGTGTATCATAATAATAGTCAAGGTAAAACTTGTTCTCTATTGTTGTTTTCTTTGTCCTATGTAAACTTCATTGCACATACAAGTCCCATAAATGAAGAGTATTGTCGTAAATGCTTTTGATGTATTATGAACAGGCCGATGACCATTCTGAATGGAAGCTACTTTCAACTTGTTCTAAAGCGCTTTTGTTCTCATTCGTTTCCGCGAACATTTAATACAGGAATCTTATAAGTGCCACATTCTTTTTATACACTCTAAACTTGATAATAATAAAATTATTTCAGGTATTTTGGCCGAGTGTTTCAGATATCCTAGTTATCTATTGGATAAAGTTTGTCAATTTGGTAAAACTGGTTTGAAGTTCAAAACATTCATATTTATGTCATGCCGAAAGGGGTATGAAAGGGGTACAAACATATTTATATAATACTAGAATAAAATGCATTTATTGATTCTCAGGAATTATTTAAACAATTTTGAGAATACCTCATGGCTTTTGTTCTCATGTGTTCTGCCAACGTTTTATGAGATACATGAAAATATAAATACATTTTTGGTTAGGTGCAATTTTTTTAACAATCAAATAAAAAATATATTTAAATATCCAATACAATATTAAAATAAAATTTATTAATTTTTGATTACTTTTAATATCAATGCAAATTCACACTTCTTATAAAATTTATAGAGTTCTTTATGTTAGGTATTTTTTAATTTGGTTATCCTAAACAACCCTTATTACGGTATTACTCAAACTATTGTAAAACAAGAACCGAATAATATAGATGTCCTATAAGTACAATTAATTAAACATTTTAGGTTTACTTTACGGCCAACAAATTTTATTGTTACAAGTACATTAAATATTTTGTAATATTATCGAATAGAAACTATACGACCCAGTTTTGTATAACGAATAGCATAAGCCGCCAAGACCAAACAAGTGCGAATAAATAGAAACAAATAGTCATAATGCCACACGTCTATGTAGATTAGACATTTGCGAATTGCAAAACATTAGACCAGATTATGCGTCATAAATATAACAATTATATTTAGAATTGCACAAGGTATTGCAAACTAACATAACATCCGTATTTGGTATTAAGAATGGAAAAATAAATTAATGAGTTGTCGTCAATATAATAAATAAATAATATTCAAAATTTCATAAATTATGTGGCCATATATTATGAAATAAAACATTATTATAGATCGATCAGTTTTGTATTTTTTTCTTGTTCATCATAATTTATATTAAATATTGTCACAGTCCCTATAAACGCGGAAACGCGACCAAAAAAATAAAATTATACAAAATGAATTTAAAACACACAAAAACAAAGTATTGACGTCACTTATATCTGACGCATCGCATGAATAAAGCAAAAAAATAAGAGAATGCAAAAAAAGATCTACGGCGTCAGCTGGCAGCGCGAGACAAAGAAATATCAAGTTACAACCAAGATCACAGGGATGACCATATATATATATAAATATTGGTATCACATATGCACCTGATAATATGTTTATTTTCAAAATAAATGACTTAACATGTTTTTATGTTCATTGGTTGTTCAAAATACACAGAAAACAAACTGAAAACTTTGTTTTTGCAAGTTTTTATAATAGCTTAAGTTTTTTTCTCTAATCTTAAATTTCTAATATATTACTCTTTAAAAAAATAAATTACAAAACTGACTGTGAAAATAATTTCGAAAATATTTACAGTAAAATAAAAAAAATTGGTTACGGTTTTACAACAATGTCCTTAAGACTTTAAACATCAGGTGACTTTCGTCACACGATTCGATTATGCAGATGATTTCATCAAAGGTCGATTACTCCTTGAAGGAAGAATTAACAATGCTTTATATTCATTTCCCACAGTAGCAGACCATAGAGGAAAAATTTATTCCAGGGCGTCGTCGTGAGAATCTCAAGATGCCGCGATCTTAGCCACGAGATAGAAAGAATTTCCAGACCGGTCAAGCGGGCTGGGCGCAGTAACATTGAATATTTTCAATGCAAGTTTAATAAGACCTCTCTTATTACTTTCGGGGAACCAAAGAGTGAATTACCATATGGACTAACAGATGGTAAGAAAAATTTCCATTTCTAATTTATAATATGTATCTTGAAACGCAAAATTAATTCAAAGGTCGACCTTGATCAAAGAATTCCAAAGTTCGTTCGTGATTTTGTTGTTCGCTTGCGAAGTTAAATTTTTCTTCCGTGTTTTAATTTATTTCACAATTTGTTACGAACGCATTTAATTCCTTAACTTGTTTCCTGAACATTCAGGTTTATATCATAGGGATATTTTGTATTGACATAATATCCTTGTGTGCTTAGGGGCAGTGAACCCTTCGAATTTAAAAGTGAGTACATATTTCGTAATGTAGTGTGAGATAGATATCATGAATACATCAATTTATTGCTGAGTGGACTTGAATATCAATTATATACAATTTTCAACGCGCAAAGAAATAGCAAAAACCAAAAGTGCCTGAGAAAGGTTACGACAAAAGTTGAATGACTTATTAATAATAATATATTTTGAGCAAGTTTCAAAATTATTAATCGGTATTATAAAATATATGAATCTAAAATTGATTGCTTACCTTGCAGACCATCTCTTGCTGCGTGTCCAGGTTAATGCACCTTCTAAGTGTACTGCCTTCTAGAGTTTCCAAAACCAAGAACCTTTCCGCAAGAATTAGTGGCGAAGACGATGAACAAGGGTTAACAATCGCGGTTGCCGAGACGCTCGGCTGAGCGTCGTCGGTCGGCGATCCTGGACTACCGACAGGAACCGCGGGTGCCGACCTTTCGCCTGCACCCAAGGCATCTGGTCGCGGCGTCCGCGATACAACTGCTACAGGCTGGACCGACTGAGCACGAGGCGCGTCTGGTTTAGTTGTCACTTGAATAACGCGCGGTTGACGTTCGACGCCTGGCGAATCTTCCATTATAATAAACGCGTCTTTACACTATTTAATTAATTAAACACCGATTTAACGTTTTGTCCTTAACATCAATTTATGGAAAACACCGTTGATACTAAATACGAACTACACATTCGCTACGGTATACCACACACCACAAAACTAATTACAGCGATGAGATTAAATGATATAACTATAAATATCACAGAAATTTTCTTAACTATTTGGTCCGTAATTCGAACATATGTGCCATGAAGATGAGTTCATGTACTTCAACTTCTGGTATCTGAAAATATAGAAGAAAACTAGTTATAAATTGAATTAACAGTTTGATCTAGATTTATAGAGTGAACCTTTGTTGTCGATGCAAGGGGGCATTGTACTATGTGTTCCCGTTGATAAGAAACGATGATATAGTATTTTATTTAGTGCTTGCAAGTACATTGCGAGACAGAACAATATGCATGAGCTAAAGTGCATTATTGTCTGGCGACTCTAAAAATATAACAATATCCTATAAGTAAGGCAAATTGTATTTTAACAAAAATATTTCTGCTAAACTATAATCAACAAACCTCCAATAAAGCAAAGCATTCAATAAAAGTCTCGTAAATATTAGGCTATCATGAAATCACGATTAATTTTATAGCTCTTTGTTTTGACAAAAGTATGTTGCAGGTCACTATATCATGACATAAATCGATATTTTATTATAACTATATATATATATATATATATATATATATATATATATATATATATATATATTTAAGAACTAAATGAACGATAATAATTAACAATTTGCAGATTAAATAATTTTGTACATAAAACTTTGAACGTATATGCAATTCCAATGCTTAGCTATTTCAACACAAAGACTCTTTTAAATGTACTGATCAATTGGCTCTGTGCTAACTAATTTAAATATGTACACAATATATAGTTCTATAAATAATTACGTAAAAATACAACAAAATATCTCATGCATTCTACAAAATGATTCATTTTGTAGACTGACTAATTGCGGAGAATTTTGAAACATTTGGCTTCTAGTGAATGGTATTTATTTATCATCGCAAACACTCATCACAAGTACAAAAGATCATTCGACAAGTATTTTTAGAAAAAGTAATTAAATTAATCCTCAAGGATTTCAAGCAATTTTTTGAAAATATTTTAGATCAACAGATTCTGCAAATAATCTAGTTGTTTAAAACAGCTATTTAAATATAGATTTCAACACAAAAGTTTTGTGTAAAAATTATAATACAAAACAAATAGTGAAGATGTGCTTGAAACTATACTTACTGAGCCCTATAAGATATTATTTAACATGATAAAATCATAAATTAGTTTGTAAAACTCGTCAAAAAGCATTCAGGTAATATATTCAATGTCATGTGAACATATACGCAATCAAGCTTTAGAAAAGTATTGCGTCGTCAACAACAAAGCAATAGAATGGTTGGTCTTTACTAATCACTCATTTTGAAGTAATGTGTAAGTTTATATTGCACAAGGAATAACTTAATTGTTCGAAGCTTATTTCTAAATTTAGAGAACAAATGTGAGGCGCAATGTGGTTGAAAATATGTTTATATGATTAAGCCCCTTATTATTTTTAATAAAGTATATTGCGATTTGCGGATGCTATTTTAACGCGCCGTATAAAATTTACAAATATTTCCTAACTAAATTTAGGCGTACTATTTTTAGAATCTTATGACAATGAAATATGCTTATTTAACGAGCGAGTTGACTAAGCAGAAATCTGTCTAAAGATAGATTAAAGCATTACACAAAACCCCTCGAAAATCTACATGAAATTCTTATATTATATATTAATGACGTAGAAGGAAATATGCGCGTAACGGCGTAGCCGGTCTACGTCAGTCGGTAAAACTCTTACAAAACGTAGCAGTATAAAATCTGTTCATATAATGAAGAATGTGTATTTAACAAGTATAACTATGTTTGGCTACTGAGGCCATGAAAATCATATTCCACACGTAAGTGCCAAGTGATAAAAAAATATACCAATACAGAAGAAAAAACAAATACACCTAAACCGACTGTGATCAAAGTTATTCGATCTGCCTAAATATAAAAATTTCAGCCAAACGAACCTTCACAGCCAATGCCAGGCTCATGAAAACGTGTTTATAGAATATTTTATGCCAAAAGGAGTTCCAATTAAAAAGGCCTGGTCATTTAAATTGCGTAAACCATTCATGAACCGGTAATTCTAAATATCGTTTATTGCAGATCTTAAAAGAAACAAGAAGGTGGCAAGTTTACAAGTCAGAAGACTGACGTAAGGTCTTCGCGGAGTTTCGACATACACGGCCAAGGCCATAGGAAATTATTGAGAAATATTACAATACAGCACTGCTCTGGTACTGAATGACCACATAGTACCGGTAATTAAATGACGAGTTTCAAAACTCGAATTTATACAATAGAATTAATATTCATTTTAATAAAATATCGAATATAAAATTATATTTAGCACGTTAACCGCCACTATAATAAAAGAAAAAAATCACATGAGCCATGGTAACTAGATAAATTAGATTAGATAATTTAGTTAAAAATATATTAAGGAAACTTATGGGCCGATTCTGACAAGTATGCCAAATATTATTAAATTTTTTTTTTAGTTTGAAACGTGGCCTTTTACTAAATCCGTATGTTAGACATATATATCTGACATGGCTTATGTAGAACTTCTTTGCGTCAGACAAATATGACTGACAAGACAATTAATGTGTTGCACAAAGAATTGGTTGATATTTTCAATAACATTTAAAATAAAAATTGCTACATTAATAATAGTTTGTTCCAATGTGAAATCGACCCAAAATGATAGATACCACAAAACTATTTTTTATGTCACACTGATGTGGCCCTATATTAAAACTGTTTTTTAGTGTAAAACGTGGCCTTCTAACAAATTTGTATGTCAGATTTATGGCTCATGTAAAACTTTTTAATGTCAGGCACATGTGACTGCCATGGCGAATAGCAAATAATTAGTTGATATTTTCAAAAATATTAAAACTAAAAATTGCTACCTTAATAATATTTTGTTCTAAGGTGGAATCGACCCAAAATGATCGATACCACAAAACTATTTTTTATGTCACACATATATGACTGATGTGGCCCTATATTAAAACGGTTTTTTAGGGTAAAACGTGGCCTTCTAACAAATTTGTATGTCAGGTTTATGGCTCATGTAAAACTTTGTCAGGCACATGTGACTGCCATGGCGAATAACAAATAATTGGTTGATATTTTCAAAAATATTAAAACTAAAAATTGCTATCTTAATAATATTTTGTTCCAAGATGGAATCGACCCAAAATGATAGATACCACAAAACTATTTTTTATGTCACACATATACGACTGATGTGGCCCTATATTAAAACTGTTTTTTAGTGTAAAACGTGGCCTTTTGAAAAATTTGTATGTGATATTTATGGCTCATGTAAAACTTTTTAGTGTCAGGCACATGTGACTGCCATGGCGAATAACAAATAATTAGTTGATATTTTCAAAAAGAAATACAGGAAACTGAAAGCTGAAGCACAGGACCAAAAAGCATGAAAGCACAAATTTGGAAAAAACACTCATAAAAATGAAAAAAGTGATTAATGATAACAAATTAGGAATAGGAAAAACTACAAGGGAGGGAAAGAAAAACATTGATTTTCTGGTGTTCTCAATGATACCACAAAACTATTTTTTATTTCACACATATATGACTGATGTGGCCCTATATTAAAACTGTTTTTTAGTGTAAAACGTGGCCTTTTAAAAAATTTGTATGTGAGATTTATGGCTCATGTAAAACTTTGTCAGGCGCAGTGACTGACATGGCGAATAACAAATAATTGGTTAATATTTTCAAAAATATTAAAAATAAGAATTGCTACCTTAATAATATTTTGTTCTAAGGTGGAATCGACCCAAAATTATTGGCCATCGATTTAAGCTAATCCGGCTTCCTCAATTGGTGGCACAATTAACACTTCAAATCACTAATTTTCAAAACTCATTCAAATCACTGTAACAAATATTCCACACTGTGTGTATCCTTACAAAATATCGCTCAACGAAGCAGACGGACAATTTCCTATTTGGGCCGGATACCGCCCGAGAACAAAATTTACATACGATACTCCGCACACAACACTGGCTCGCCGAGCTCCATTTTGATACTGTCGGTAAAAGCCGGAGAGCATTATCACACAACCTGCGAGCTACGCTATTACACGAACGTAGGCGTGGAGCAGCGACAGAGCATCGGAGCCGACACGAGTGCGAAGGAAAACGTGCGACCGGCACTCTGTATGTGTTAGCGATGGAATGGCCTCATGAAACTCATACAAGCGACCGGCACGGAGCAGGATAAGCTGCGTTTACATTCCAGACTTACAGAAGCTTCACCGAATAAATTTAAATTTACTTAGTAACTAACTACACCTAAGTCTGTTTATACACGGTTTTGATATAACACGGTTTGAAAATTGAATATTTTTAATTTTTTTACACGATTTTATTCCATTTAGCACGATTCGAAATTTTATGTACTTAAATTTTTTTGTCAAATTTAATTTTATCAAATGAAATTTTATGTACTTAAATTTTTTTTTGTCAAATTTAATTTTTGCGAAGTATGTTCATATCACAAAAAATACAGCGAATAACTGATGACGACAGCAATTAAATCTATGTTGTTGTATTTATGATCATCACTTATTCTATTTTATTTTATTTTTTACCTTAAAAATTGAATAACCTATTCTTTTCGTTCACAACATAGTTTTCTAGTTCCTGAACTTGCCATACATTTAATTTATATTACTTTTAATATTAGAGTGCATATCTTTTTTATCATTAATTACTATGCTTGTGAAAATAAGCATTATATATTTGATTTAATAAAATAAACATGAATTCTTGTTCTTAAAAATTCTTGTTTTCACTAATTTTAATAGGTTTTAGAGATTAGGAACCATTTTTGTATAAGATCGATTTAAGATCACCCATTTTTGTATAAAATCAATTTCTTTTTTTACACGGCTTCTTGTGGAACCAATCTACCGTGTAAAAACAGACTTAGGGTGTATGACGTTTTAACTTTTTTTTATCTATAATTTAGTTTAATTTTTAATCGTTAAAAATATGTTTGACCGACTTATTCCAAAAATAATTCCTCTAGGTCAAAGATTTCAAGAAAACTAGGGAATTTCTATTATAGGATATATATATATCGGGGATGGCGACTTTTTTAACACGTTAATTGCCACGATAATATCTGAGAACTTCACACAGGCCATTGTAACTTTATTAGAAAAGTTAGTCAAAAGTTTATCAAAAAAAACTTTATGTATCAAAAAAAATTTTGCCAAAATTTCTGGTAAACGCTATTTTTCGTTTAACGGATGTAACACACATGGTCATATATTAAAACTTTTTTCTCGATGTATTGTAGTTGCGAATGTCAGACATCATATTTGTATAATAAATATTACCTACTTTATAAATTGATTTTAAACCGTTCATTAATGAAATTCCGATAAAATTACATATCATTAATTTAAAAAGTTAATAATTCAATTTCAATAAATAATTATTATTTATTCTAAAAAATTAATAATATATTATTAATATAATAATAATAAATCGTAATAAATAAAAAAAATGAATAAAGTTATCCATTTTTTCTAATAAGTATTACCAACAATATAAATAGTATATTAATTCAAAATATAATTCAGATAAAATAATAATCTGAATATAAATCAAATTCAGATAAAATGATATAATATTAACTTAAAATTTTAATAATTGAATTATTGCAATCATAATTGTTATTTATTTTAAAAATGTAATAATATATTAATAATACAAAATCAAAGCATAATTAATCGCATAAATAATTATAGTTAAGTGTAAAATGATACGCCAGGAAGATAAGATAAAAAAAAGATTAAAACTAAAATTTCACTGCAGAAAAAATCGACAATAGACGTAAAATTTTACATAAAAATATCTATCTACAGTAATTAATGTAAGTAATTCATGTATGCATTTAACCATCGAACTAAAATTAATCTTTTATTGAATAATCTTAACAGAAAATGGAAAATTTATAATATTAATTCCGAGTATCATTTTTATAACAAATATTTTGAGATAAACGAATGTGAGTGAACCTTTAAATCGGTAGAAGAATTCTTGAACGACGTGTGTACACGCGCATTTTATGAATGTATGGCTAACAAAGGTTGAGTAAGGTTGAGTTGAGTCAGCCTATATACAATCAAATGTTATAATTCGGAACTACATTTGTTTATTTATAGAAAACAATTTTTTACATCTTGGTATTTTAAGCAAAAAGTCAACTTTATTAACGATCGAGAAATATCTGTAAACTCAATAAATAAATAGTGTAAATAAATTCGGCAAATTTGCAAAGAGATTAAAAACAAAATATAACGAATACTAATGAATTTTTTAATAAAAAAAATTGTTCATAATTTTTCTATAGACTAGTTTATGTAATATTTTCTAAAATTTAAAACACTTGAATTTTGATAAAGTTAAAAATATAACAGGATTGATAAAGTTATAAACATCCAATAGGAAATATAAAATATTATGTTGAACAAAATATTTTAACAAGAGGTAAAAATTGATTCCGTATGATTACGAGTGTGGTTTTTGGTTTAGTTAATTTAATTCTAGCAAAAAATGTATTTTGTATTAATAACCAAATTATGCATTAATTGCAAGCGCTTTGATACTTAATAAGTTGTATAAAGAATACACACATTTATTAAAAATTACATAAAATAAAATATACCTTAGATATTAGCTTCTTAATATTTTATTTGACTGTGTCATCCTTACAATTTTAAACTCGATGGCAACTAACACGGTCAAGAAATGTAGTTTAACTGACCAGGCAAAGTAAAACCAAAATCTATTAAATTGTTTGGCTATGCAAAGTATTGCAATAAAATGCGTAATGGAATATTGCGTAGTGTACTAACAAACTTAGTCATCTAAGGCTTATTTGGTTGCGCAATATAAAGCAATAAGGAAACGATTGATCTAATATGATCTTTTTTGAATAGAAGATAAAAAAGAATCATGTTATTTCAAAATTTATGTTCTTTTAAAAAATTTTTTTTTTAAATTTAACGTTTTTAGACCCACTTGTCCTAAAAGCCATTTGTTTGAAAATTTACTACTATGACATGAGAGGCAATCCAGCAATCATTGTTATGTGTGGCGATTTTGATATATATATATATATATATATATATATAATTTAATTATTTCAGAATTACCCCCGCAAGGCTATTTTCACTTATGATCATAATTGAGATTTATTATTTCAAGTGAAATACCAAGGGCGGCATCGAACCCAACAGAACTAAGAATTTCTAGCCCACGTTTTTTACCACTACTCCACGACACGAAATCTCAATCTTACAGTATATGAATGCTTTCAGGCCCCCTAAATTTAGAATAAAAACCGAAGTAAAAACTTATTTCAAAATTTGATTGAAAAATATTAAATTTTTCATACTTCATACTCGTCACTTTTCAAAATTATTGATTTTACAATCTATGTAATCTTATAACTGTTTTCTACAAATTGCCACGCGAAAAAAGATGATAACATCGCTTTTAGCAAAGACACAAGCTTTTATAGCGCGTTAAAATGCAAATTGCGCCTTAAAATGCAAAACTAAATGTACATAAGTTTCAATAGAGTAAAACCCCAATAGTCCTAATGTTATAATGAAATTAATTTAGATATTTATCATCAGGTACCTTGTGTATTGTTTTCACTGTATTACTAATATCACAAATTTGAATGCTTAAAATTGTACTTTTAATTATAATGCTCCACATGACACGTGGGACATTTCGCAGAAATAAAATTTTAAAATATAATTAAAATTACGCAAAATGTTTATATTTATTTGATAAATTTCAACAAATTAATTGCAAAATTGTTGCAAATTATACATTTCGTTATCGCGTTGCTGACATTACATTTTTGAATTTGCCATTGACTTTGAAAGTTTAAAATAAAAAAAACGATTAATATTTTTTGAGGAATGGAAAGGAAGAGAATAAAATATAGTAATAAAGCATTCGTTGATAGTAATTAAATGTTTAATTAAATTTTGAATTTGAATTTATTATGCAATGTATAATACCCACCATGTTAGACTTGTGCTGTAACATACTTTTACATGCATTATTCAAATATTGTTTTTTATAATATATAGAAGTTTAAGTTTAAAATTTGGCCTTTATGATGAAACTGTTTGACGATTTGATTTCGTTTTTAATATATTCTAATATATTAATTTAGTTTTTTTTATAAATTTTAATTTTACATAGCGACTCTTCAATGAATTTTGGAAACAGGATACCGCAGAGATTTGCTTCGAAATTCCACCTATATGGTATGACCTATAATGACTTACCAAATGCCATTGAATATTATTTATTTAATTTCATCAAAGTTCAGACTAAGCATAATATTATGTTTCCTTATCTGTGTTCACACAAGCGTATAGAATTGCAAAATTCGATGCAATTCAATACACTGATCTTCACAGGTGATCGAACTAATTAGTGACCTCAGATTAACAAATTTGTATTCCAATCACAAATCCGCATTCACATGTTTAACAGGTCAAATGATAAGGAGTAACATATATTGCGTTATGTGCGATTATTATTGACAAATCGGTAGTGCTGAAAAAGTTCGATATTACGAAAGTCATTTTGATAAATTATCGTCGCGGCAAAAAATATGATATACAACTTGATATATCGAGAAGCTTACGTCATAGGATAATTGAGCTTTTATACAAGCCCAAAGTAACAAATAGAAAAGCATTACTAAAAAAAGTCTGAATACTAATCAGCACTATTCTATATAAATGTATCTATCAAACACTATCAAAATTCGTTCGGGATTTTTAGTAAAAACGTTGATGAAAATTTTTATCTAACTGCTAAATGCAAAGAAACAGCTCGGCTGATCGTCGCCCCAAAACTGAT